AATTACCAGCCTAGTGAAATTACTGTTTGCAAGCGAAAACGTGAACTCAGGTAGCTGAATTTGGATGTAAATGCATTCTCTCTAATTACTTAGTAAGACATCAAGTTACTGCATTCCATACCTTTAGTAAGACATCAAATCTCTGTGTTTTATACCCAGATGCAGTTCAGCAGTGAGCAGTGAACCACACATGGCAGGACACATTCATTCTGCACTGTTTCACTGCAGTCCAGCAAAGAAAACTCAGTCCCAGCCATCATAATGTGCCTGTTGATCCAATGATGCAGAATTTCTTTTTCCTTTTGACCTTTCACCAGGAAAGCTTCTAATTTATACATGGAGTAGCTCCCATTCCTTGGGCCAAAGCAGCCTTTGTTGAAGGAGGCACCTCTGGTTTGCTGACCAATTTGCTGCTCAGCTTAATGAACCAGGATCTTCCTGATTTGATTTTGCCAGAGTTTAGCAGCCTAATACATCTGCCTGAAGTATTTACACATTAGGTAGTCGAGATGTAGTTCAGCCAAAGGCTCTCTGGGAGAGTGGGATGGAAAGGCCCCAAATTAGATTTGCCTCAAGCTACTGTGGCAGCTCGTGTAGACAGAGATGAATTTTGAACCAAAGGAAGCCAAAGTGATTTTGTTTAACCGTTTTCCTCACTTTTAAATAAGCTGGCGTATAATATCACAATTTGTTTTGGTTTTCCTCAATGAAAATTCTGAAGTCTTTAACAGCTGACAAGGAAGTTTTATGGAGGTTATTTGGAGGTTAAAAAGCCCCAAATCTCACTGTTCTTAATATCTTTTAACCACCATGCGTTCAGTCCTAAGGAAAAAATAGTATTGTAACTTCGCAGTCAGCATCATTATTCTGTTTCCTTCTCATCTTAGTGTTGTTCTGGCTACTCAGCTGGGGTAAAAATTGTAGAAAAGTCAGCCATACATATCTCAGTTAAATGTGAGTATTGTCTGTAATTGAGAGGGATATTTGATAATGTGTTGTGTGTGAGATAGGGTTGGGACAACGTATATTATTTATTGAGATGCCTTACATAGCCCAGATTTTGGCATTGTGAGACTTATTATGAAACACAAAAAGTGGAGATTATCTGCATGCTTTGTAATGAACATGAAGGGGGAAAATCCCTTACATTTCTTATTGCATTTGGATGGACAGTGGTTTTTTATACTCAGGTCCTGTTTTCTTTGATGCCTATTCAGCACTGTTTTGTTTAACAAGATAACTTCTTCAGTTCTCTATCACTTATTTAACAGGATATCTGTTTTCTGTGTTGTCCTTTAAATCAGAAAGCAGTTTAATTGTTCAGTTTGGGTGGGGCTGTGAAATGGGGACGGGATGTACCCTTGGGTTGTGTTTCTGAGGCTGCTGGGATTTCAGCAGGGGATTGTTATATCCAAATTCAGGTTTGTTTGGGTCTCAGTGAGGGGACATCTCCTTTGAATTTTCTTCCTTTCATATTTTTGTGCACTTATACAGCCAAATATACGAAGTGCAGCCCTGTTCAGCGAGATAGATAAAAAGCTGTGCTGGAGTCAGCTGCACCCTGGCTGCTCTCAGCTTTTGTTTGAAAAGGGGCTACATCCTGAAGTACCTCATTCTGTTAAATATTAGTGAGCCAATACAGTGAATTTGGATCACTACAGTTGACTGAAGATACATTATCTGCCTGGTGTGTTGTGGCTGGTAAATAGCTGGTTCCTGTGGGAAGCGCCTAAAAGGGTAGAGGGTCTTTGGTAGCACATTAATTCTTTAAACAAAGCTTGATCACAGCAAACTCTAACATCAGTCTTCGAAAAAGGATAAAAGAGAAGGAAGAGATTCAGACAGTTTTTTCCTTTTGTAAACTGGCTGCTTTATGGGGGAAAAAATAGCTGGAAATAGCCTGTCTCGACCCAAATGAAAGGTTGTGGATTAAGGCACTGCATTAGTGAAACAGCTGCACCAATGTGAAACAGAAAGTCCTCCAGCTTCAGCCATTATGGGTTTGTTTGGTTAGCTCTAATTTTGGAAGTCATTATAGCAAAGGTAAATGACTTGCACAGGAGACTACTGTCAACAAAAGACTCGATACATTTATTTTGGCAGGAGCCTTGAGAAGTCTCAGGCCTTTCAGTGCCTCCTTTATGCAGTGCTTTCCCTGCTCTCACTGCGTGCCTGTGTGCAGGCAGCTCTCCCTGCCTCCCTCCCTCCCTGCCTCCCCTCCCATGAGTTCTTTCCCCCTGACAGGTCGGATTTAAGGGTGGCAGCACCTGCTGCTGAATTGCTGGTGTGTAGCTGTAGAATACCTTTGTGTTGCTGTATTTTGCTCAAGGGAGAATCTGCTCTCTCCCCGTCTAGTACTGGAATACAATCTGTGTCAAAAACTTCACTTTTAATTGTGTCTCCTTATTGGTTGCTATTTGTGTTTCCTTATTTTATCATTTAATAGCTTTATACTTATAGATTCTAAGCGTGCTGATGCTTAGCTGAGTTTTCTAGCTTTTTGGTGAAGATTGAAGTGTTATCTCACAATTATCATTATGAGAATGATAATTCCCTTCCCAGGTCTGTGCCCATGTGGTTGAGTGAAGGCTCAGAGAGTCCATTCCACACTGACTTACACTTGTATAGGTGAGGAGGCAAATTCCCCATGACAGAAGGAGTGCCCAAGCAGAGCCTGCTCCTTCCTTTCAGAAAGCTCCTTGGGAACATTTCCTGTGGGCCTGGCAGAGCTTTCCTTGCCCTGTAGAGCTGGGAGGGTGAAGGAGAGGGGCAGAGTGAGAAGCCCCTCACACGCACTTTATGCCCATTGCTGCTGGTCATTCTGACAAATAACCAGTACCAAAGGAATTATAAAGTCATTTTCTTGTGCTGCTGTAGAGGAGAGAATTATCTTTATCTCTAAAATTGTTCCCTTAGTGGTTATTAACTAGAAATACAGTAATTGAGAACCTGGTAGGAAAAGATTTTGTCTGATAGTAGCTCTGATCTCTCAAATTGAGTATAACTACATAATAATTACACACTCAAGTGTTTGACTGGCATGACTGATATAAACTAGCCAACCATGGAATGGCATGCCTGGAAAGAGGTTTTATTTCAGATTAATTTCATCTCATGCTGTATATACACCATAGTTATGCTTTCAGGTCAGGCAATTGATTCTGAAGAAGGAGATGTGGGTTTAGCTGCATGAACTCTTTTGAACTTCCTTCCACCTGCAGGGTCTTTGAATGTCAGGAGAAGCAGACAGCTTTGGTATTTTGCTCCAATGTCTTTAAAAAGCCTGAAATGTTAATACAAAAATCTCTTAAAGAGGAGCATCCTTCACTCCAGCTTACTGGGGGAAAATGTAAAAGATACATCTCTTGGAAAGGCCAGGACAGGACAATGTTTTGACTTTACAGTAAGTAACTAGTAAAATGCAGAAGTAATAAAATACAATTTTTTTTTTCCTGCAAGGAGATGACTTGATGTCCTCATGTCCTTCTGTATAAAGCTTAATGATGAGGTTTGCTTACCAGCCCCAATATTGAATATAAACCTGCTGTCAAGTGCAACTGTTTTGGCTGCACAGACTTGTTTTAAATTTCCAGTGTGAGGTTCAGTCTGGAATTTCAGTGGCAGTGATGTGTGGCTGTCAATAGAACAGAAACTCTCGGAGAAATGAACAACTATAAAGTTGTGTGTGCTGATCCCAAAATGCTCCATACACTACATCCATCAGGAAGTGGGCAGAAGGAGAAAGTAGCTTTTAAAAATGAAGAACCAACATAATTTACAGCAAAGATCCAATTGATATCTAGAACTGAATACCTGTGAATTGAATATCATAACCTTTTCTTCAAACAGTAAGGTTGTATTACTGCATTTCTAGAAGTTTATGCTCGTGGGAATTAGTGTATTCCTGATACTTTATGATATGCTATTCCTCTTAATTAATGTCTATTGTGGAGGATGTTTTATGTCCTTTCTATGTATCAGAACATGCTTCAGGTGTAACATTCTCAATAAAATTGACTATGAAAATAGTCTTGTTTTATTTTAAAGAGTTTTGCCAACTCTTCCCAGATTTGTTGAATTTAGTAAACACTCCAGGTAGGTACTAAAAGCAGGGAGGTCTGTGGGAACTCCCACTGAGTTTTCTGCCTCTCACCCCCAAACCTTTGCATAAAAATGGAAGTGTGTGCAGTCCCAGGAGCTGTCTCACTGCTCCAGCTGTGGGAGGCTGAGAAGAGGCTCTTGGGGGTGTCCCTAAATTCTGGTACTTGAAAGAATCTAAATTTGTTCTTCTGAGCTCAGACAAAATTGGGTGTGTGTTGTGGCAGGACCTGCCCCTGGGCTCCCTGGGGCAGGGCAGGGTTGTGTTCTTGTCTTCTTCCTTCTGCACAGGCCAGAGAAGGCTCAGAAAGGGATTATTTAAGTCCATGAGGAAATACAGCTGCAACTGGAGGAATTTGCTGTTTAAGCCAGTTTCTTTTTCAGAGTTTCTGTTGCTATAGCCACTTTATTCCTAGCAGAACTGCTGGATAGGATAGAAATGGAAAGAAAAAATTGGCCAGTTCCTTGTGCATTCCTTGTGCAACAGGTGCAGTGTTCATTTGTGAGCACAGACTGAGCTGAATCTCCTTCCATGCCCAGAGAATGCCTGCAGGCAGCACCTTCCACAAGAACGTGGCATTTCTGCATTTCATATCTCCTGAAGAGATGCCAAGCAGAATTTAATTGCTTGTGGTGCAATCTTTCTCTGTGGCTAGATAGGATATTGAATGCTTTTGAACTCCTAAATTGCCATGGGATGGCCTGATCTGGCACAGTTGTGTTTAATCTGCAGACAGATAATGAAAGATGCTCCATCACACAGAGCTCTGTGATGCACTTCTTTCTTTTATAGATACGAGACTTCACTGGAGGGGGAGGAAGGGAGCTCTTGCAATAACACACACGTTTGTTTTTCTGTTTAGTAAATTGACAGGTGTTTGGTTTGTCTTGTGTCTGCCCAGGAAACCACGTCCTGTCTCCTGGAGAGGCTGTTGGGAAAGGTCTGACTCGGGACGCTGCGCAAGATCTCGGGCTCCCCGAAGGGATTGCAGTGGCAGCATCTCTCATTGATGCACATGCTGGAGGACTAGGTACTCACTCATGGATTCACTGCTCTTGGAGACAGGAATTGTTGAATTAAGTTTAGAAAGCCATTTTTGTCACAGACTGTTTTTATCCAGCCATTTGCTCTGATGGTATTCTTAAAAACTACCCCAAATCATCACAATAACTACCAGCATTGCAAATCTGTTTCTAGAAAGAGGATATATCACTGTCATATGTCTTTTCAGATGGATTTGCAAATTGTTTGTTAATTTCTGCTAGTTCTGCTTTTGAGTGAAACACCGTGGTGTTGGAATGCCAACATGCTGAGAGTTTGCATCTTGTGTTGCTTAAAACTCTGGGGATAAGCAAGAAAAAAACATGAACAGCCATTGTGAGGGAGAAGCCTCATGTTTGATGCTTGTTCATAGTTAGGTTTCTTATTAGCATTAGAAGTGATTAATGATTCAAAGCTTTAAGGTCTGGTGCTTTGACTTTTTTTCTTTTCCAGCACAATAGTCTTATGTTCAGGCCTGGTTCCTTTTTTCTGAAATACATTTGATGAGGCCAAACAAGTTCATTTTCTTACTATGCTGTTTGGCCTTGTCCAAATACTGTCAATAAGAAAGAGATTCAGTGTAACTTTCTCAGCAGGAAATTGAGGGTTTTTCAGTTTAGAAAACAGTCTTACCTCAGGAAGTTTCACTGTTATTGAAACAGTACTCTTTAATGGAAATCTATTGCTCATCAGAGGATGTTTTACTAGATCTAACTGAAATGTGATTAGGTGTTAAACTACCAGTTTTGTTTCAAATGTTTTGTGCTGTTTTAAATTTCATTCGTCCTTCTAGAAACTGTGGCTGGGAACTTTTTTAGTGTTTAAATCCCTTTACTTTGCTTTTGGTGAGGTTGAATAATCACGGAGATTGCTTTTCTTGCTACCTGGAAAGGATTAGATGTAGATCTGTCTGCAAAAAGGAAGACTGAGCTTCATTGTCATATTTGTAGGTGTGTTGTGACTGACTTAAAAATATCTGTCAGTATCCTAATTGCATAAAAATGTGTTCAAAACTGTGTGCCTTGGCAGTTCTATGTTATTGGAAAAGAACAGAGTAATAATCTGACCTGAAAGAATGAACTTGCTGCAAAACTCACAGAGCATGTGAAAATGGCAGTGGAATATCCTTGTTTAATTGGCATCCTTATGGATCCAGAGCACAAAAAGTTTTCCCATTTTTTCATGTGCTGAAATCACTCAATACAATTTTAAAATGAACAGAGAGCAATTGTCTGTTCCTTGATACAGAGTTGTGTAAAGAAACTGACATCAGAAACACTCAGCTACTGGCATCCCTCAGTAAGGGGCTGCAGTGGATAGAGACAGTCTGCTAATCTGAATATGTTTTCCCAGATGGCACCACAAACACCAGCAGACTCCTGGAATGACTGCCAGGAGGAGAAAAGCAGCACACAGGTTGTTGTTAGGGAGAGGGGGGCATTACAGAGGGAAGAGTCAGGAAGATAGTGGGAGAACCTGCATGATAATCCCACCATAGCTCAGTGCATTCTGGGACAAGAGGAGCATTTACAATGGAACTCATAATTCTTGAATCTGGGAAGGGTAATAAATGTATTGGAAATGGTGAGGAAACTTAGTAGAAAGGACAGCAAAAATGAAAAGATTTGATAGCAAAAATGAAAGGATTTGATAGCAAAAATGACAGCAGGAACAAAAGGAGAGTCAAAGAGTGTAGATATCTGTAAAGAAAATATCCTGCAGGCTAAGCCAGAATGATGTGATGGACATCTTGTTTGCAGTGTTAATAACTTTTGATGCAGCTCAGATCTGCTTTTGGCTAGATGTGAAGTGTGGTTTGGCTGAGCAGGTTCCTGAAGTTTATGAAGGCTTCAAAGCTCTGAGTACAATAAGGTAAAGAGCTGTTTAGTGTGTGTGTTTGAGGAGGTCATGTGTGACTCCTGGATCAGTCCATCTGATACCTCTTATGGAAAAGTGAGGATCTAAGAGCCAAGCAGTTATATCTGGCATTTTGACCTACTGTACTAATTCCAGAGAGTGTACAGATAAAACTGTGAGGATGGCAGGCCAGGCTTGTGAGGCTGGCCTCATAAAAATGCTGTTTACATTGCACCTTTTCAAAAGGCATCAGCATTGTTTCAACAAAAGTAGATGATTTATGGTGCAGTGTCTAAAATACCATGTCACTGTGGAAGAGATCCAGAAGTACACATTGCTAAGCACTGCTTGCTTTCCTAAAAAGCTCTCCTCTGTTCTGTGTGGTGCATAGGCTTCTTGTTCTCAGCCTCTGCTTTTGAATCTGCCTCAGACTATGAAAAATTCCACCTAAGCTAAAGGTGAAAGTGACTTATAACTGCAATTATATAACTTTTTGCCTATATTCCAGACTTAATTGCTGTCTGACTTTTATTAATCACAAATAAGAAGCCTCTAACAATTCTAAACACTGGTGAAGCCACTGACTAAAATTCCGAAAAGAGCCATAATTCCTGTTTTGCAGAATGGATATTTTCTTAGCAATTAAAAAGATCTTTTCAGTTTTATATTGTTTATGAAAATACATTTGCAGCATATGCTGACTGTTTAGTTTAATAGATTTCTTCCCTCTCAAGTGTGAACAGTATTTTTAACTCAAGAAATTTTAATATGGTCTTGCTTAGTACAGGAATTTGCCTTGTAGACAACCCTATCCAAAATTCCTAATATGCATTTATTATGTTGGAGCAGTGAAAAAATAAAACATGATGTCGAAGCCTTACTTTTAGCTTTTTGTTGTTCTTAGGTCTCTTTAGGACAGCTGTGCCACTTCATAGTTACAAGTCAGTTTAGTGAAAAGGACACGAGGATGGATTTTTTAAGACTTCAAAATTTTAGCCCTGAATTTTCTGATGATTTTGATGACTTCCAACCATGGTAATACCAGGATAACCATGGTGATCCCAGTAAGACAAATCCCAAATCTGATTTGATAACAGAGCATTGCAGTGGTGATCTAAATAAGGAGGTGTTAATGAAATGTAGGATAGGAACCAGCCCTAGCACTTAGCATCTTTCACAACATCCAGCAAATGTTTTCCTGATCCTTCTACAGGCAGATGAAGGGAATTTTTTTAATCAGTATTGACATGCTGGTCTCCAAATTGAGCTTTGCAGATGAAAATTCACAGTCTGGTGACCAGCTTGCCAGCTGAAAAGCAATGTTTAAGAAAAGAAAAGTCCAGTGTAAAAATGTTACTTGTTGGCTGCTGCATTTTGCTGAGTGCAGCACAATGTGGTGCCAGGATGCAGCCTGGGAGAGGAGGAGGAGGAGGAGAGGGCAGATTGCCTCTGTAGCCTCCCCTGAAGTGACTCAAGCAGGATGGGATGTGTTCTGAGGCTCAGCTGTAGTTCTGCCTGGCATCTCCTGGGTGTATTTTCTGCTGCAGGCTGAGTGGTGCTGACTCTGTTCTCCTCAGAGCCAAGCTCAGTTCCTCGAAGGGGAGGAAAAATCTGCCTTTAGATGGTTCTGACATGGACAGAACAGCAGCAGCAGTGAAGACAATAAAGCTGGCAGCCTTCCAGTCTCCTGCCAAGTTACCCCTTTCTCCAACTCATCCCCTGATACAACACATCATCCAGGATGTTCTTGATAAACTGTGAACAAATAAACACATCTGCAGCCTGCCAGTACAGCAGGGCACTTTTATTCTGCATGCCAGTGAGCTACCTAAGAGAATAAATGTCAGGTAAAATAACACTTTCTAGGTAAAATAACACTTAAAAATCATGATGATAGGCATGCATTTAGAAGTAATCATCTTAGGTCCTTATATTTGGAATAAATACTTCAATCTGATGGATAAAATTATTTCCTTTGTTGGCTAAGTGGACTTTCTTAATTTATGGTAGTGGTGTGAGATACTCAGCAATTATTTGAGTGCAGAAAAGGTCTGTTTGGTGCAGGGTGGCTTGTTCTTCTTTAACAAGGAAATTTTAATTTTACTTTAATAGGAGTAATTGGAGCAGATGTGAAAGGACACAACCTTCCATGTGAGAACCAGCCCATTACATCCCGAGTCGCTATGATCTGTGGAACATCTTCGTGCCACATGGGGGTAGGTTGTATGTGTCATCCTAATTTGTGCAGAATTTACTAACTTATGTTTTTGAAGGGAAAATTGACCTTTGTCCTTCTCACCCCATTCTTTTTTCCTTGAATTTTTTTTCTGGTAACTCTATCTTTACCTTTGGATATTAATTATAAATTACTGTGCATTTGCTATTAAGCAAGAACTTTAATAGTAGTAGAAATCAATACTGAAAAATGACATGGAAAGTAAAAACCACGATGCCAGAGTGGTTTAAAGAGCAGCCTGAAATCTGAGCCAAAGCCTGAGCCTGAGTTATCTATGACAAGCCTATCACTAATGTGTTACAGAAGAGTGTCTTTGGAGAAGGAGTGCCCATCTTCAGTCACAGCCCTGCTCCCCCACCTCTTCCCTTAATCAATATAAATCCTTCTCCCTCTGAAAATTGCCATGGTGTGTAGAATTATGAGACAGATCATGACTAAAAAGAAAGAAAACCCCCCAATAAGCAGTTTTCACTTTGCTAATTTTTCTCGGTGAATTAATACAAAAGCTTTCTCTGAGATTGCAATTAAAATTTAGTGTCTGCTTTTGAAATTTATACTGTTTTAAAATGTATGAGTCTGAGAGCATTCCATTTAGATAAGTACCCTTTTCTGCCACATTTTTTATTTAAAACTCATTTTGGTCTTAAATTTAGAATGATTAGAACTTGGATTTTTCCAAAAAGGAGTAAATGGCACTGGGAGTGCTAGAGGAGTTGGAGAGGAATGACATGCTTCATGGAGAAAGCTCCAGGAGAGAAAAAGAAAGGAGGCTGATAATAAAACATCAGGCTTAACAATAGATTAAGTTGTCTCTGTAGTAACAGCATGAATCCATGGTGATCTTGAGCATGAATAAATGGTGATCTTGTCACGTGGATTGTCGTTCAGCAAAGTATTTTAGCACGTGATTGAATTTAAGGACGTGAATAATCCCACTATTGTGAAGCAGAGCATTAAGCTTAAATCCCCTAGACCAACTGGAATATGTTTTGGTTCCTTCCTAAACAAAAGTTTCAAGGTTCAAACTCCATCACTCTTGGCTTGCTCTGTCTTTGAAAAATTCCACTGGTACCTGTCTGTCTGTCATAGGGCAGGTGGGGCACCCTGGGGGAAGAAGTCACCCTTCAAGCCCTGCCACTGCTTCCATTGTTTCCTGGTTTTCTGATGGAGGTTTCTGCCCTTTCAGTAGAAGCTGTTTGAGTGAACTCTTCCTAACCTGTTTCATATAGCTGAGTTAGTTTGAATTGTTAAAATGAGTTAATAGAGACATAGTACTGGACTGCAGTAGGCTGAGGAGCTCGCAAGCAGCTTCCCCCAAAGGTCTGAGGGCAGTGTTGGGTAGCTGGCAGTGGGCCAGCTGGCTCTGGCTCATTCCTTTAGCACAACCAGCCCTGGAGGAGGACATGTGTGTGGTTATTTATTAATGGTTGATATTTGTGCATTGGTAAGTTCTAACATACACCCAGTTCACAACAGTGGAGGACATGTGTGTGGTTATTTATTAATGGTTGATATTTGTGCATTGGTAAGTTCTAACATACACCCAGTTCACAACAGTGGAGGACATGTGTGTGGTTATTTATTAATGGTTGATATTTGTGCATTGGTAAGTTCTAACATACACCCAGTTCACAACAGTGGATTGTTTGACTTCCCAAACTGGAGCACAGCACATCAATATTAACACGTTTTGTGTGCACTCTCCACAACCATGAGAGTTGTGGCTCCATTAAATATGCTAATGTAGCAAAAGGGATGTGATAAAATCCATGTTGATGCTCTGTCATCAAAGCAACCCCAAAGTCGAACACAGACTGCATGAGGCAGAATCTTTTAAGGCTTTTAATCACTTCAGTTCAAACTCAGGAATAGATGCTTGTGCAGTTTTTGCTAGATTTAAGTAGATTTTTGCTTAAATCTACCTACTCAGCATTTTATAATCATTTCCTTAACTGCCTGCTTTCACCCATCTGCACAGGGAGGGGTATAACAATCTCTAGCCAGCAGACAATAAGTAAATTCTAAACTTCTCTGGATCTAATCTGTGAAAGGATTTTGGTTTTCTATTTTTTTATCTATTACCTGCACAGGCTGTGTTGAAGTGAGCGTGGAGCACACAGAGCAGTTGTATTTGTGTTTTAATGAGACCTATATGCAGCTGCATTTGGCCAAAATTAGCTGTTCCTTTTTTTAATTAGGGCTATAAAATGAAAGTATATTATACTTGTGTTTTGATAGAAATATATATTTTCTCTCTCCGTGTGGACCAAGGGACCCTGAGGGCTACAGAGATTAATCATCGAGTTTAATTTAATGCAGTGGGAGAGAGACCTGTGTGGTCAGGCGGGCATTAAAAAGTGCCTTTGATGTGCCTCAGGTGCACTGAGCCCCAGTGAGCCAGCAACAATAATACCTTTGTGAGATGATCAGAGACGAGAGAGGGAGAAAATGGCCTGTGTGGAAACTCAAGGCCATCCTTTGTTGTGGTTCTGGCAAACGAAGGAGCCAACTGTCAGGAGAAATTCAGCAAACAGAAAGCAGGGGGAAAGTACGGCTGGGTTTCTTTCAAGGGGCCGTAACAGGAAACTGTTCAAAATCATCTGCAATGCCTTTCTTTTCCACCCCTTCCTCCTCCTCTGCTCAGGGCAGGGGGACTGCTCTTGGTATCTGTGTGTTGGTACAGTAGTTCCATTCTCTGGACTCCATGAGTCACAGGACTTGAACACAGCATTTACTTTAAACTTTCAGAGAAACTGCTCCTCGACCCAGTTTTCATTACCTCCAGGACTCTAGAGATCTTAAACAAAAGACTTTGCTAATCATGCCTTTGATATTTTAGAATGTACAAATGTGGAACCTAATTTTACTCATGGCTATAATAGGTTAATTTGTGGTGGAACTACCATTTTTAAGTGAGGATGCGCTTTTGGAATTAACCACTGACAGTTTGGGGTAATCAGAGGGACACAAAGAATTTCATGTTTCTGTTGAATAGCTTATGAAAGCAGCAAAATGCTTGTTATAATTAGGTTATTGACCCCAGCCTAGGTCTGAGCTGTTGGTTGCTGAAAGTCACTGCCTCCTCAGGGCTCATCCATTATCCATGAGGAAAAAGAAAGGAAAAGATGGTTTTCTGAATATTTTTGGACAGTTATGCATTTTACATGATTCTCTGCTGCCTCCTTTGCCCTAGCAAAAGACATGGGTAGAATTTGCATTTGGAATGGCATATAAGCTGCTCTTTCACTTGTGAAGGATTGTTTTGGGGCTGGGATTCATCCCTGCAGATTTGGTCTCTGTGCCCAAGGGTATTCCTGACTTTCCTGGGTGGGCTGCCACTGCTTTGCAGGCAGGGGCTCTGAGCTCCAGCACCCACATTTGGCTTTGGAACTTTAGGAGCCTTTCCCTGTGTAGCCATGGTGACTACACCAAATGTGTGAGTAGTTTTTTCCCAGCAAAATCACAGCAGGTTTGAGGCACTGAAACAGGAGCTTGCCTGTTATTCCTAACTTGTAGTTTGCGTGGGTCTAACAGACATGCCCTAACTTCTGGGAATAAGGTAGTTGGTTTCCCTACAAGCCTGTCTTCCTGCCAGTGTCTTAAGAGTTTTATGGGGTATTATAAAGGTTTTAAAAATCTCTTTTTTTTTTTTTTCCCCTGAAACCTTTATGTAGGTTTCTGTATTCCCATGTCCCAGTCCTGGACAGAAGGGTGCTTTCGCAGGGCAAAGTTGTACCATCATGAAAATATTTGTCGTTCTTGCTCCAACACCTTTTGTGATTCCCAGCTGAAGAAAGTAGGCAGAGCAGCTTTCAATGGGAACTTGGTCTGGCCTAATTTTAGCCTATTAATGGGGGGAGTGTGAATTTGCTGGTATTTTGAATCCCAAATGTGTTCCATTATCTCCAGAGTCTCTGGTATTTTTTTCTTCTATCTTCATTTAGTGATATGGTCTGTGTTCTTCTTCAGTCATTCCTTCTTTATCAGTTCTCTGTACTCAACACCTCTTTTTGGGGATTGTGAAGGAATCTCTTCAAGTTGAGATGCAACCTCTTCTTTTGCATCTGTTTTTGTTAGTTATGTGACTATTGGCATTGGCACCTGGCTTGGTGCGCAATTCTTTTTTCCCTGGGTGATAATGTTCATGTGGTTTGAACTGTAGAATTTAGTTATTTTTTTCAATTGGATAGGCACAAGTAATTTATCTTCTACCTTTTCAGATTTTATACATGATCTAAAAGACAGATCAACTACATGAACAGCAAAATGAGCAGATCGTTTTGCTGTCCCAATGTTTACTATGGATTATTTCAGGAAGAATATCCCATATTCTCTCTCTTCCTAAGCCTGACTAGCCTTTGAGTACTTTCTGCTAAAGGAACTCCAGCCCAATTTGCTTATTCTAAATTTGTTCATTTGATTCTCGTGATGACTGGCAAACACAATAGAGCTTCTTTGCTCCACAATATCCGCCCGAGCTGCCAGCTTTGTTCGCACAAATAGAGTGTTAAGCACGTTTCCACCCCCAGAGCATGCACAGTACGTGTCCTTTGCAGTACATCCTGGAGAGGAGACAGCAGAGACATGCTGGCTCAAAGTGTTCTCCGAGCCTGATCTCTAATCTCAGTGGGAGCCAGACCAGCAAGTGGATTCAGTGTATTTTGGCTCTGATACCGGAGTCTCCTCTTCAGAACACGCCACGTTGTTAAAGCAGCAGCCTTGGGAGTAATCGCAGTGCAGGGGCTGCTCGGTGCCCCGAGCAGGGCAGGGGGAGCCGGCTTTGGCAGCCCGGTGGATGCGGCGCTGCAGAAATCAGAAATCCTCCGTGCGCCGCTCCGGCATCCCCGCCTGGCAACGCGCGGCCTCCGGGGGGACAGGGCACAGCCCAGCCCTGCCAGCTGGCTGCCACCCAGCCTGCTGCAGGCACGGCATTTGTCCTTCTCCTGACCAGGGGAAAGGCGCTGGGTCAGGCGGGAGAAG